CATAGTTAGCCACACAGGCTAAGGATATATACGGCACTCTTTGAGATCTCACACAGAACTCTGAACACTCACTGACTGAACACCCTAACTGAACAAATCCAACTGCTTTTCATACTAACTTTCATAACCGACTGACACACACACAGATCCATTTTAAAAACTACTTTAAAAGTTTTTTTAAATCCACTTTAAAAACTGACACTCACCCAGATCCACACTCTCTCATCCACCAATCACAGCACATTTGTCTCTCTCAATCACTCTGCTCTGCTATCACTATACCTCAACCAAACACCTAAAGAGACACACACACACTCTTAAAACAAGGAATCGTTACAGTTCCCTTGTCAGCAAGAAAGAGTTCTCAAAACTGAAAGAATTAGCTGCCAGCATATATTAATGAGAATCAGAGAGGACGCCACAAAAAAAAAAAGATATTAAGCATCTTAAAGCAACTTCACAATGAAGAAAATGGTCAGGAAAGCTAAATTGTAATTAAAAAGTTTGCCGCCTCCTTTCCCACCTAGATGTGAATGAATGTTCCGAGAATCCTGGCATTTGTGTCAACGGGGCTTGCATCAACACAGATGGGTCGTTCCGATGCGAGTGTCCTTTTGGGTACAACCTTGATTACACTGGAGTGAATTGCGTTGGTGAGTGTCCTTGACCGCTCCGCATCCCTCTGTTCCCACATCCAGTTGTGCCGGGGGGCATGGGGGGGACCGCCAGGTCATTTTGAGCATCTGCTCTTCTTGATCAGAGTCCAGCAGCGCCTTGGAGACCGACAGGTTTATCAGGGTGTAAGCTTTCAAGAGTCAAATCTCCCTTTGTCACATATCTGCCCTCTGAAATTACTCTTTTTGAATATCACTGAAACTGAGAAAAAGCAGGGAGGTTCACTTTTCAGAGCTTCCTTGCTTGACAAGGAACTACCCCATTTGCTAATATTAGTCGTTAATATTTTCTTGGTTCAGTCCTTATCACAATACAACAGCAGCAGAAAAATGGCATAGATCTCAGAGCCCCACCCAGTGTTCCCTCTAAGCTGAGTTACTGTGAAGGTAGCTCACAGTTTTTTAGCCTCCGGCTCACACATTTTTGTTTTAGCTCAGGGAGGATGGCTCCAGAATAAACTAAGGTATGCAGGAGCCAAATCTTTCGCTCATGACTTTAATGCCAGTAGCTCACAAAAGTAGAATTTTTGCTCACAGGACTCCACAGCTTAGAGGGAGCATTGGCCCCACCCATTTTGAACTGTGCCTTCACCAACTCAAGTATGAATCAGTTCGTTGACCAATAAAATCAATGAAAGCTTGTGTTTTTACAAACCTGGAAAGCGTTCCTTAAATAGATCTATGTATGAATGACGCTTCACTATCCGATGACTATTTTGAGATATAGAGGTAAAGTTATGGGCAGTCACCCCTTTGTTTGACTTGGAGCTGCTCTAGATCTTCGACATGGTCTCTGTGCTTCACACCCATGGGATTCAGTGCGCACGCGCTGGATCAATTGGCATTCTAGCAAGCTCTTTAACGGATTTTCACGCCCAGACCTCGGGCATGCACAGGAACCCCACCGCGCATGCCCAGAGGGGTGGGCGCAGACATCCTGCCAGTTCCTTTCTTACCGCCGCATTGGAAAGACCTTTTCTCCGTCGGTCTGATCGGTTCAACTATTTTTGGCTATTTGCCTCACGGCTCTTTCGATTTTTTCCTCACTTTTCTCCTTTTTTCATATTACTACTTCGTTACCTACTTAAAAATGTTTAAAAAACAACTTTTATTTTTCTTGAGGGGGGAAGTTGCCGTTTACCTCAGCTTGGCCTTTGGGCTCTTACCCCCCTTCTTTCTTCTCTGCTTTTCTTGTTCTATGGAGAAGAAGTGGGGCTTTTTTAACCCGTGTAAAGGCTGCGGCAGTAAACTCGCACCGTCTGACCGCCACACCCTCTGTATTTTTTGTTTGGGTGAGTCTCACTGACCCGAGTCTTGCCGACACTGTGCTAGGTTTTCAAACCAGACCCGAAAAAACTGAGCTGCACACCTCAAAGTGGCCCTACTTGAATCAGCGCTACATCCTTCCTCAGCGATGGACTCAGAGAGACCTTCAACCTCGATGGCTCCGACATCGAGGCCTATCTCCGACATCAGCCAACCGATGTAGAAGCCTCTGGCACCAAAGGCGCAATCCTCTGCTTCCACGCTGGTGAAGAAGAGGCCCAAGGCAAGTAAGGATAAGTCCGCAAAGAAGGGCTCCTCTAAGCCCCTAAAAGCGGCAAAGAAGGTGAAGGTAGTGGCGTCTGCACTGGGTGATGCCCCTAAAGTGCTCCCCGCTCCATCGACATCGGAGACACACGCTCCTCCACCGATACCAACCATTCAACTTTTGGACTCGCCTATACAACAACTAGAGCATCCTTACTCCGACATCAAGAATGTGGAGCTCCTAAGTCACCCCATGGGTGCAGAGCCTTCCCTCTCTCCTTCTCCGTCGTCGAAATCGATGGTATCAGAAGCTCCCGACATCGATACAGGACGGA